CTCTGTGACCTATTTACTAAAGAATTACTCTCTCTCAGTGCTTTACATATCTAAATATTTGGTTCAGACAGCATTCATTAACTTGGCATGTCCAAAAGTGACCCATTTTAGAGGGCAGACACAGCTATACCCAAATTCATCATGAGTGCATCACTTCTAGTTACAGAACCACAAGAGTGAGAACAGCAGGGATCAAACTGACAATTAAAAATGACCTTCTTTGTAACTCCATGCAACAGACTGTAGTAATGAAGCTGTGAAGGCAGGCTGAAGAATTAATATGATGCATCAATTTTAGTAGCTTTTTCTACAGCTCATCTTGTCTTTGGTTGTTTTATGTGTTAAACTAGGGATGAGCTTTTAGAAAAACATATCTACTGTAAAATAATGGTGCTAAAGAACAGATGAATTGTTAACTCAGTAGACAAAATGTCCTTATAGGTTGCTTGACGTTTTGCAGTGTGTCCTTTGAACCTTTTTCACATTATAGCCAATACTGACTAATTAATAGCTCGTGGCAATCCTTTCATCACTTGTGCCCCATTGAAGTCCTGGCTTGCAAGACCAATTTTGTAATTAATTTTGCCAGGAATCACAGATGGCCTCATCCTCTGAAGGTGAACGTTGTAAAAACTGTAAAATTGTTGGAATCCATGTTCTCCCTCACTCAAACAAGAACAGAGTCGCACATAGCCACACACAATGCAGGTTCAAACAATATGTATTTTGTATTTATTACGCTGTCTGACTTTTATTGTTTTATTCATTTATTTCAGTTAGATGTCTGAAGCTGCTGCTCAAACACTTTTTTCCTGTTTTTGATGTGCTATTTTAGAGGTATTATGAAACATTATGACAGTATAATCTGACTTTTCAGATTTAAATAATAAAAGGATAAAACCCCAGTGTCCAAAAGCTGAATCATCTAAAGAAAAAGAAACACATCTTTATCCTATAAATGGGCCTGTTAAACCAGACATTGGACTCCTGCTGCTTTGACAACAGTAAATTCAAGATCTAGATCCACTGAGGCAACCAAAACATTATAACAATATTGATATGTGTGTGCGTAGGCGTGTGTGTGCATGTAGCCCATAGCTCTGGGCCACTGTTTAATGTCTGGAGCCATTTCACCAGCTCTGATATAAAAACAGTTTACAGCAACAGTGTTGTGTATGTTTATTTGTATGTCTGTGTACGTGGATGCATGCCACTAGTGGGGGGGTTATACAAAAAGTAATGAGAGCGGTGTCCCTCCTCCTGATGTTGTATGTCACTTTTAACAAGCACAGTTACTCCACAGACATGTCTCTCTCTAATCACGTTGCATGCTTTTCTCACTCGACGTTAATACAACTGACAGCAGAGAAGTGAATGAAGGAAAGTACAGGCCTTCTTCAGCAGGCATCGGTCACAGTCGCTTTCTGCATTATTATTATTTTGCTCTCTCAGGATCATCCTTAGCATTTTTGGACCTCAAATTCTTACAATAAATGGCTCCCTTTTTTCATCTCACTTTCATCCAAAAACACAATCTTTTGCTGTTTCTGTAATAAGCCCCCTGAATGAAAATAGCAGATTCAATTCAAACCACAGATATCATTTTCATGCAAATACAGAGGACAAAGAATTGTTTTTGATCAGCGAGAGTTTCTGCTTTGTTTGGTAGTTTAGAGAAGAGGCAAAGAGAAAAAGTGTCCAGGCTCTAAACTTGACAAGTTGTCAGCCATCGACAATGTGGCTTACTCCGTTTGTCACAGCAGTAAAACAAAACCGCAGCACAACACAAATGCTGCCTGTGTTTGTGTGTGTGTGTGTGTGTGTGTGTGTGTGTGTTGTCATGTCACATATTTTCATGAATGTGAAATAGCAGTCGTTTATCACACAAATACACACACATCAATGAACTTCTGACTTATGAGGGGAAAATACATTCTTTCCATCCATAAACTTGACAGTTGCCCAAATCATTTTCAGATGTATCTTCTACCATAATCTGAATCTAATTCACAGCTATTTCATCTGAATAATAGTGCTCTTCTCATTCTTGCATCAGACATATTGACTCAATATGAAAGCTTTGGCATTTCTATTACAGTGACTACTTACATCCAGAGGTCTTGACAAAGTCTCACAGATGAACAGTTTCCTTCACAGGACGTTTTCTAAAGGCCCAGGAACCTTACCAGTGTTTCAGTGGAGGAACCAAAGTCTAAATTTAGTTCTTCTTACCTTAGTTCCTGGTGCCAAAAAGTCCAGTGTTGGGGAAATAGTTTATTCCATTTAGACCTAACTGACTTTGTTCACCTCAGGTATAGAAACTGTGGTCAAACAGCATCATAACTTTTAATCTGTTATTAGACTCATTTTATTAATCCTGTCAGAAAGCACAAAAGCACTTTTAGTAACTGAATTTACTTCCTGTGACTCCACAGTTCCTGGAACCATTGAGCTGAAAAGAACCATAATTTTAAATCCAAGCTCTATTCTTAAAAAGAGCTGCTGAAGAAAACTGAACAAAGGCAGTACCAACATGTTTTCATAGCTTTTTGTGCCACCAAAATTCCCTCAACTAAAGTGACGCATGTTTCCTTTATGGATTTATTTTCATTTTCCACTTAAAAACATGATTCACCTGAGATTCAAACTGGCCATTTGTTGGGCCTAGGTCTTTTTTGCCAGGAGGCAGCTATCGAGGTTTGTGTCAAGAGATGATGAAACACACACATCACATATACACCTACACACATGACTGTTTACTAAATGTATGGGAATGCATGAAGCAGAGTGGGTAAAGGAGAGGAAGAGGATGGGAGTGATTGAGAATGATGAATAGCAAAGGCAAGGATGATGACAGAGGTCCAGCCATGGGCCGTGTTATTCAGAATCAAGTTAAAACAGCCTAGTGACAAAGTTCTCTAAATGCAGTATAATCACGCAGCACACTCTTTGTCATTCTGCTTACCTTTGGAGTGTCCACCCAGGCCTCAGGGATTCCAAATAACCTTGGTCTCAGCCTAGAGTTATGAATGCTTTTTTCCACTAGGAACACCTCTCCTCATCGTTCACTTTACTGGGATAAAGAAACATTTCTTGAAATAGTTGAGGTAATTATACATTTTATTTATGATGTGTGAATCTGTACCAGTGATAATGCTTTCATTAGAAATTCTGTCTTCTAAGAATGTCTTTGTTTCTAAGCTGCACATGGTAATAAGGCCCCACAGTTTGACTTTCTTTGCAGTTTTAAATGACATCAGTGTCTCAAACATGCCTTGGTGGATGTATTAAAGTAGCAAGTGAGAGGCAATGCATAAAAGTAGGTGTCTTATTGAGTTTCAGGGTGAGAGGTGTCTTCATGACGAGAACACATGTTGGTGTTCCACTGCTACACTTACAGTTTAGGGCTTTGTAATGTCAATATTTTAAATAGTATTTGAATGCATTTGCATTTTAACATAATGTTATGTTTTGTTGTGCTTCATTGGTTGCTATCCATCACATTGTTAATTAAAACGCTTTGTCTTATAAATATTATCTAATTAATCTGTAGTCTATTCCTGGGAAGCTGAACTCACCAGAAAATGAATGCCTAATATTCACGCAAGTCTTTCAAATTGAATTATAAAATACACTGTTCTTGGGAAACACGAAGCAAATAAAGGTCTCCCGTGTTAAAGTCCAGTGTTTTGTTGTTGCAGATTTTGTCACTCTCTGATCATAATTAGCTGCAATAGGATTTTGTGACTTGATTGTAAACTTATGCTGTTTTATGACATTGCTGAAACAACTGATTGATGCTGCCATTCTTTTTAGGACAGTCTCCTCTAATTATGTACACTACATGTGCATTAAATACCACAATACTTTGCTACATTTCTAATAGTATAATATGTAAATATTGTTAGAACGTGTTGCTGTTATACGGCAGTATGTGTGGTTTGGTAACTGTTGCATAAAAGTCATAATATCCAAGGGCAGTGTTTACTTTGATCCAGTGTTGGAGGGTGAGTCAGTATTTATGATGTTCATTTGGTTTATTTTTATATCATTAGTCATCTTTTTGGTCTGTAATCTGCTCATTATGTTTTGCTAATGAAAAGGCAGGCTCGGAGTTGAGAGGATGTACGTACTGTATGTGTGCATGTGGTTGAACAAAATCTAAGAAATACGTCCTTGGGTCAGAGATCACAGAAAACAAAACCCTGTCTGTTAACTCTGGCTGCTGCGCGTAAGCCATCGAGTGTTCAGTTCTTGTCAGGATCATACTTTTTATTGTGTTTGTTGAGTCATGCTGGAGCTTTTCCTAGACGCAGATACCATTATTCACGCTCTCTTGCTTTCTAACAAATTCAAATGATATACCTTTGAAAATAAAAGAAATTAATAGAGAACAAAGCCCTTTTTTTCTTTAGGATAACACTGCCCCAAACCAGCGACTTTCTGCTATTTCAGAAGCCTGCGTGCTGTTTGAGACTGTCAACCTATCAGGTTGGAGTTTTAGTCAACTCTTGTATGGCAGGTCACACTCAGCTAATCCTATTGGTAATCAAGGCTTTCTTCTTTCTCTGGTTGAGAAAAGGATCGTGCTGTCTTTGGAGCAATCACAAACTATGTGGAGTTGATTAGCCTATTAAGTATGCCTGCTTGGTTTGTCCAAGCTCGCCATGCTTTAATGATTAGCCTGTGGCTTTGTTTTCATGTCAAGGCTGCTTTTGTCGAAGCACGGTTGTAGGAGTCGTAAAGATGGCGTGATAACCGCTGCGGTATAGATGTTTGGATTAGGAACAGAAGAGATAAATACAAGAAGTTAAGTGCTGTTTTCAGGTCCAATTGATTTATGTTATGTTTTTCTTTAAGCAACAGCATTTCAGCCTGTCTTTAAATCTTATCTTTGAAATGCAACTCTTAAACTAATGCCTGAAGTTTCTTTTCCCCCCCTGCTATTAAGATGATTAATCCATCTCTGTGTTTGTCCTTGTCTCCCTCTCGCTCTGTAGCCCCAGCAGAGCCGTTGCTGTGCAAGTTTGCTGACGGAGGCCAGAAGAAAAGGCAGACCCAGGTCAAGTATCCCCAGAATGGTCGACCATGGACACGGGAAGGAGAGGTGAAGCTTAAAAGATTATTTAATCATAAAAAACACCCTCCCCACTACCCGTTTATAAAAGCCGCAGAAGCTTTCTTTTGCTTTCAAAGGCAAACTGTAATACAAGAACCATTGGTTTGTTACAGCATAACCCCTTTTACCCTCTGCCTTTATGAAAGAAAGCAACATAGAATTTTTCCTGAGGCAGAATCATGCCACGGCAGACATTTCCTAAATCAACAATAGCATTTCATTTCTCACAATCAAAATGAGTACTGTGTGTCTACTGAGAGGTTATTAAGAGGAAATAGAAATGCTAACAAAAACAAGTGGTGTTATTTTAACTTGGTCTGAGAACAGCGTATCCACAAACCTCCTTTAAACATTTTCCTGCTCATCTCTTTAACAAAAGTGTAACAGCAGCAAAGTGCACGTGGATGACTGCTGCATACAGTGCTCAGTGTCCACAGGAAACATTTTTGTAGGTCAAAAAAGCTTTGTTTTTTTATGTTGTTGTTGTTTTTGTTGTTTTGTTTTTTTTAATCATTTTTAAATCTTACTGATGTTCCCATTGACACCAGTTTCTTTTTCACATTTAAAAAATTCTGAAAAGCCTGACAGGGCCCCCTGCAGGGTCATTATCAGCTTTCATTTCCTGTAACACACTGTAGGCTCAAATAGAGATGCTGTTGACAGTATGAAAGCTGACATATATGAAAGTTGTTAAATTTGAAATACAAGGTTTCTGCAAGACCCCAGTGCCTAGTTGTTTTTCCTTTTGTTGAAACTCCCACCTCCAGTCTGTCAGCTTGAGAAGAAATAAAACCTTCTGCAGCAGATTGAAAGCAGACTGACTGTCGCACAATGCAAAGAGTTCAAAAGTTTTTAGTGTCAGTACCAAAGCTTTAATTTACAGAACAAGGGAAAGTGAATAATAGTGTCACCACCCACTCACTGAGTGCAGTTTTTAATGGTTTCCCAACATTTGCACTGGTGAAATGAAATGGAACCAGGCTGAAATGACTGCATGCTGAAACAAGAGCCACCACAACAAAAATAGGATGTAGATTTAGCTTTTATTTTGCGAATAATGAGTGACAAATCACATCAGGGCTTAGTTAACAGAGAGGCCACAGTGTTAGTGATTCTTTCTTTCCATTCAATTTGTGAATTGTCAGCTGGACTTAAAATAAATGACCCGTACTTTGAGTGAGATTCCCCACACATTTGTTAATGGCCCAAGTCCCGACAAGCCCCACTTGGCAATGGTGAGGAAAAGCATCCCTTCAGAGGCTTATGCATGTGTCAGAGCCAGGTCTGCGAAGCTATTCTGACTAATAGAGACATCTGGCTGTGGAGGTGCTTTGAGCGATCTCCCTCCACCCTCACATTCAGTCAGCCGACCCTAATCTCTCAGAAACCCTCACTCCCACAGTAAATTAGTCTGGCCATGGGACTAGGAAATGAGCACATATTACACACACAGTCAATCACACGTACAGTATAACATTGTTCCAAGACACACACATAGGATACACATGGGCTGATTATGAGACTATAGGCCACTGGACACAGCCTAGCTAGGCCCTCCACCTAGCTAGGCCCGTCGCCTCTCCTTCATAGGAGCTACATGCCCAGAGATAGAATTGTCATTCTGTGTCTCTTTTGACTACAAGTATTTTGTGTCTGTGTGGTTATTTTGCATCTCTTTGTAGTCATCTGTGTAGTCACATTGTGACTTTTTGTAGTTGTTTTGCATCTCCATCCATTATCTATACCGCTTAGTCCCAAACGGGGTCGGGAACCCACGCAAGCACGGGGAGAACATGCAAACTCTGCACAGAAAGGTCATGAACCCAGACCCTTCTCGCTGTGGGGCAACAGCGCTAACCACCACGCCACCCTGCTACCCTGTTTTTTGTTGGCAACTCTTTGATTTTCCAAAAAAATGTTAACTGTCACTTCAAGCAGAGGCTGTGGTCCAGGTACCTATGATCCTTTGGGCACATTGGTCTGAGTGCACTAGCCCCTTTCGGTGATCCAGTCACAATAATACATTATGAATGCACACACAGGTTTACAGATGAGCGGCAGCACAAATAAACACGTCTAAAGAGGCACATTTATGGATTGATGCTGGTATTATACAGCAACTGTGGCGTGTTTTAGCTGTTAGATCAAGGAAACTTAGAGGACAAGATGCTTCACATAGCTCATCTCTTCCAGCACTGGATCATAAGTCTTTTGTTGCAAAATACAATTCAATAGATTGACAGGGGAACAAACAGTGAATACAAATTTAGCTCAAGATGAAAAACAGAATCCATGTGTATGTGTATTATAAATTTTACCTGCTTTAAATCATACTGTACATTTGTTTGAGGTCTGCTGTGAAAATAAATCCTAGGCTTTGGATTGATTTATTTATTTATTTTTATTTTTATTTGATGTCATCATTGTCTGGCACTCATTTTTATTGCTTCTGCAGTCCTATAGTCCTGGCTAGAACAGTGACTGGGGGAAAACCAAACATTGCAGCAGAGTTCAGCTTAAGGGCACACTTTCAACTCATGTGCCAATTTGGAGAAGTGCCTTGTGTGGAATGTTGGAACAAGCACAAATTACATGTGTAAGGAAAAGCTAGAGAATAAGAAAATAAAAATTAGAAGACTGAAAAAAACTATTGTTGCTTCAAGTTTGCTCCAACAATGCCCAGGCACAGTAAAGTGGATGAGAGAAGCTCTGTAGAGAGAAATACAGTAACATACATTTGCACATAAGAAAGAAAGTGAGACCAAAAACATTCAGAGGGAGAGGTGTTACTTAATGTTGGATAATTAACTCAGTAAGGGCGGCATGTAATGGAGAGGGTAAGACATAGAGAGAATATTAAAATACACTTTTGCCACGTTGTTTGTTCTTATAGTGATCAGATGCCGCTGGAGTATAAAACCTTATGATATTTATGCATAATAGAGCTGAAATCTTCTAATATTAAGTAAATCTGTACAAGTGGCTCCTAAACTGCGAGAATGTTTTTATTCAAGCTGCATTTAGTGAAAAGAAGCTTGGGCTTGTTTTGATTTATTGAATAGTTCTGGTTTTGGCCACTGTGAGTTTCCAGACTGACAGTACAGATGTTTGCTGCGGCAACAAGCAAACTGTGTGCGTGATAGCTCAAACAGACTGATTTCAAAAATTGTTAGGAATTTCAGTTTTGTCTGCTTTTCCTTCAGATTGTCTCCTTTCTGCTCCTTTGTACTTTCACTAAGTTGTACAAGTGGGAACAGCTGATTAATTTTCACTAAGTCTAAAACATTTTCTACTCAAGAAGATGTGCTGTCAGTCCAGTGTGGAGTTATCCTTGTTTCTCTCTGCATGGCGGTTTCTGTTTACTTGTGCGCTCAACACTGTTAAATGCAAATGAATCAAACACCAACATTTATCCCATTTGATTTGAAAAGAGGTTTTTGTGGTGATTGTATTTTTTTTTCAAAATCCTTTTTAGAGGAATACAAGTGATAAAACTTTCAAACATTTATGCATATGTCATGCCTGAGAAACAAAGAAATCTTCCACTTATTGTTACTTATTGTTTTTATGAAACTTATCTTCAAAGTCAAAGTGTGTGTGTGTGTGTGTGTGTGTTCATTTTTCTTATACATTACAACTTAACCTACTTCTTCTTCTTCTCAGTCCATTGCCTTTATTGTCTTGACCATTTGTCAGACACAGTACTGCTGAATCAGTTTCTAATTCTAATTCTAAACACAAATGATTCAAAAGGCATATCAAGTATTTTAACCTTGACATCTCTTTCTCCAGAGTGGTATGGCTTTGACATATGATCCCACCGCGATGCAGAACGGGTAGGTGGAAACTTTTAATCTCAGATTTAAAAACTGTATGTACAACTCAAATTTTACTTTTGATTCACAATCCCTGCTGAATTTTGCAAACCCCACACAACTGCTACAGTCCCAGCTTCAGCCCCTGTATATGACATACAGTCTAGCAGACTTGCACAGATGCACATACTGTACTGTATATAAGCCGGCTATCAGCAATTGTACAAGGTCATTTGCATGGTAAAGAACAGATCACACATACACTACATTATTCGCACACAGACTTAAACAGGCCAAGGAACCCCAGATCATTAACACACACACACACACACACACACATACAGTGTATACCCTCTCTGTCTCTCCTGCTTTTGCCCTTATTCTCACATCTGACTGATGCAGACAGACCATTTATTTATGCACCTATGCATACAAGCTGTCAGACATGTAAGTTTTGATTGCAGACAGGGAAGGTGGGTGATGTTGCAGTATCGCTGTAAGACTTTCGTCAGCCTAGGCTCTTCAGTGCTCTCAGCCTAAATGCAGAGAGCTGGGTATCTGCCTGTTTCAGGGGGAAATTGGAGATCGGCCCTGTCTGCTAGGAATGCTGCTGGTGATGCGATCCCTGGGGATGCTTTCCTCCAGTGCTGTTTCTCTTCTCCTCCTTCTTGTCAGCTCACACTCTGAATCCCTACTTCTCTTTTCTTCCTCTTCCTTATTGTTGCCTTTTTGTGTTCTACACATTTTACTTTCTTTTACTTTCTTCACATCTCCTTTAAGCCATTCCTTTCCTGCTTCTTTGCCCCTGTCCTCTTTTGTCTGTTTGTTTGTTTGTTTTCACAGTTTCCAACCTTTTTTTCTCTTCCCCTTCTTCTACACACGGCTGTCTTGGGTAGTTCCTTTGTTCTTGTAATTCCTGCTCTTCATTTCCAAGCATCTGCTTTACCTTTGGTCATCTGTTAGTCTTTTTGTGTATGTGTGTCTTGTGTGCACGCAAATGCACGCTCACACATGAGCATCTGTGCGCTTGTGGTGTTCGAGCCCTTTCCGACCTCTATTCTAAGGTCATCAGAGCGCCTTCTGGCGAAGCACTAGATGACTGTGAAATGCTGATGCAGCTAATTAGAGAGGCAAAA